GAGTCATCTGCCAATCGGTTTTTAAGCAATTAATTATTTTAATGCGGTTCACTTTTTTGACAAGTGGATTTGCGATGCATTTCGAAACGCTGTTTTACGGACGATACCACTATTCCAGAACATAAAACACACACCTTTTTGTCGCCTAGAAATGCCATATTTCTAGATTCACCACATTTCTCTGTTACACTTACTATCTTGCCTTTTTTATTTATTTTTTTCGCTGAACTAGCCATGTTAAATAACACTTAAAAATCATAAATATAATACAAATAAACTTTAAAATACAGTTGTGTCAATGAAATCGACTAGGATATGCGTAGACAAACTTTACAATAGTAGTCCACGACATAACTAAGGCAAGACAATAACAAACGAGTGAGCTCCTCGCCGCCTTATGACCGACCACTCGCATTTGTTCGTAATACTTCATAGTGAACTTTGTTATTTTTAAATAAAATGCAAACTATTTTGGTCGCTGGCGTGTCCAAAACATTGTGTGTCGCTTGCCAATGGTTCACCATCCCTCATATAGGGTGTATGAGGGCTTCGGAAAATATTGCAATCTTTGGCATAATGCAAAAATGGAGCAATTTATTAACGCCCGAAAGTGTATGATATTGGCATGCGGCCAAAAGTGGAAGCATTTCCAAAACGGTTAAGTTTGTGAACTGTTCACGTGCCGCCGTGATAAAAGTATACCGTACATGGCAAAATGGGACTGCCAAAAATCATCGACGTGGCAAATGTGGTGCACCACGGGCTATACATGACAGAGGTGAACAAGGGCTGCGGTAATGCGTTCGGGCAAGTAGGCGTGCTACCGTTGAGAAACTTGTGACATCTCTCGCGTTCTTCTTCTAACATAACCCCTACGTTCTTTGACGGCCACGATTAATGGCAAAACTTTTCCAACCCAAATCCAAGAAGTAAAAACGAAGAAAGATGCAAATAAGATAACCTTTAAAAGGATAGAAAGTTTAGTGAGCAATGTTGGCAATTTAGAGGAAGCTAGCTCGGAAAAGGTAGAAGTGTAATTAGACGGCCTACCAAGGAATCACGGAGATCCCGCCATTAGTACAAGGTGCATACTATTGCACTCGAGCCTAACCTGAATATCTGAAGTTAATTGAACCGTTGAGTATTCAACCAAGGTAGGAGGATTATATTCTGAACACTAGTATAATTTTGAATCGAGATTAGGCACAGATATAAGATATTTATATTGATAAGTGATCTAATTGCGCGATCTGAGTTAGTTAAAAGGCCTACTTTGGTTTATTCTCACTTAATATAAGTTTGTGTGTTCGATATCTAAGTAATTTAAGTTAAATTCTTAATAAAAGTCATATTAAGAATTATAGAGAATGTCTCATCCTTCCGATAATCCCACGCCTCTAACTTACGCGGAAACCCCAAGACATAGCTATCGACAGATGGCTATGTCGCAAACTGACTGCCCAAATGAACCAAGGGGCTACCAACAGTATCTCCCAAACTACTGTTCAGCGAACGTTGCTGCGTCTGGGCCTCCAAAGCAGATGCCTGGTTCATACACTTATGCTGACTGCTGTTCATCGACAACGAAGGCTAGAATTTGAACGCCCTTAACGCAACTGGAGTGGCAACAGGTAGCGGGAGTATTATGGTCTGGGTAATGTTTTTGGTATTCTCTGGGTTCACTCATCATTGTGGGATGCACGATGGATCAATACATGAACGCAACTGTCCTTGCGGACCATGTCCACCCTTATATACGCATTGGTTTTCCTCAGAATGATGGCATCTACCAGCAGGACAATGTGAAATGCTATACAGCTGCCAGTGTACGTGCCTGGTTCGAAGAACACCAGGACGAGTTTACTTTTCTTCCCTGTCCAGCAAACTCACCTGACTTAAACCCAACCAAGAATCTGTGGGACCATCTCGATCGGGTTGTTCGCGCCATAGATCATCTCCCGAGTAATCTAGAGCAGCTGACTATGACACTGAAGTCTGCATGGCTCAACATCCTACTGAACACGTTCAGGCATCTAATTGCCTCTTTTTCTGCACGTCTCACAGCAGTTCGCTCTGCGACATGGTTATTCTGGCTTTTAACATGGGGGCACATTAATGTAACTGGACTGTGCATTTCTAATTCCATTTGAAGGTTGGAGTATTTGCAAAGAATATTTTAGAAATTTCATGTGGAGAGAGGTAAAACAAAATGGTACATAAATGCCTTTTATAAAACACAGTGGGTTGTGGTAAACATATTCCCACTAAACAAAGGGACTTGAAAATCAAAATAATTTTACTTAATAAGCAGGATTTTCCCACTGCCTCAGTGGAGAGCAGAAGAAAGTTGATACAACCCAGAAATACAACTTCGAACACAAATAGTACAGCTTCGAAGCACAGGGCATCAGCGGTAAATATCGTACATTGTAATAATTTTTGCTAATTATTTTTCTCTTTTTATGGCCAATAATATTAAAAATCAAATCAATCTATTTCGTCTTTACTGATGTGGAAGAACAAAAAGCATTAACCTTTTAAATGGTTTTCATTTCGCATAAATATTCTTTCAAAACCAGGCAAAAATATTATTTTAATATTTTTTTAGTCAAGTAATTAAAAAAATTTTTAAGTCGATTCCTACTTAGATCAACAAAGAAAAATTTTATTTTAGCTACTTTTTATTAAATAGTTACAATTAATACAAATACATAGGACAGAATCACAACATTAATTGGTAATTAATTTTTATTATCATTAAAGTATCGTATTGTCATCCAAAACAATCGTGTATATAAAATGTCAATTCAATTGAATGCCTTAAAACGAGAGAAAAAAATCTTTTAAAGTTTTGACCCAAGTCGCTAAAAATGAAACCAAAGTGGCTGTATCTGTAATTCCTTAAATAATTAGTTTGTCAATGAATTTTAATTAATTATAATTAAATTATCGTATTTTTACCTAAAACAATAGTGTATAGAAAATTTCAGCTCCAATGAAAATTATAAAATGTGAGAAAAAAACTTTTTCAAGTTTTGACACGTCACCTATAATGATGCCAACGTAGATGTATTTGTAATTCTTTGAATAATTAGTTTCAATCAATTAATTTTTATTAATTATAATTAAATTACTGTATTGTCATCCAAAATAATCTTCTATATAAAATTATCAGATTATTATCAGAGTGTTGTTTAAACCAAGGGAAGTTTAACTTAAATACCAAATATCTATAACAAACAATTGGATCACTTATACCTCGTAACGTATTGTTCCTCGTCCTGACTTGACGACATATCTTGTTCAGAAAGGCGTAGGATCCTCTTCTTGAAACCCCAAGGGCTTCGACTGTTAACTCTAATAATCTAAATCACGTAGCAGCCTAACGACCATCGACCTCACTCTCCCTTCGCTGGTGTTACTCATATTTGCACAAATCATGGTTCTACTACGGGAAGACATTTTTCAAACATACAACAAACTGAGAAATACTTTTTCCAAAAGTATATTCAAAAAAAGGCATAGATAGGACCCATTCAAACTTTAACCTCTTACCGGTTTGCCCGTACGCTATACGGGTACTGATATTTCTTTCTGTCCTTGATTTGCGCATATTTTTAAATCTTATAATGAAATTATTAGTGCTAGCGTTTTTAAGAGATGCACAGAGTTGGTTCATGATACTGAACTGCATCTCACCCGGGATTTTCCTTGTTTTAAAAGTGGGAATTTAGATTCTTGAAAATTTTCGATAAAGAACAGGAACTGGCAATACAATGAGCATATTTATTTTTTGAGAAGTGAAAACGGAAAGTAAATCCGAAGAAATCGATATTATTTCTAATCCCATTGCAATGTATGACTTCGTATTACACCATGCTTCAAAATTATGGATGCATATATATACACGAATACACGAACAAAACCCTCAACCGTTCGAAAAAGAGATGCGAACATGAAATTTTTTAGGATGAAAGAAATTCTTTTAAAATGTATGAAACCTTCTTCACGGCGTGCCGAGTGTACTTGTAAAAAGCAAACTTTTAGGGGAAATTGTGTACCACAATTATAAAATAAAAAATAGCGTGAAAACTTTAAAATTGAAATTTCAAATAAAGTTCTACCATTTTAACATTCTGATTAGTGTTATGCTCAGTTATATGGAATAAATAAAATGTGCCTTTTTTCAATTCTTACTTACTATTAGTTTACTCTCTTCTTATATATATATATATATATATATAATAATCTCTCAAGCATCCTTTTAGCTATAACTCTTTTTAATAATATTTAAATAATCTTTAAATTTTTGGTTCGAAACTAACGCCTTAATCTTAATCGTAATCAATTAGTAGCAGAAATCTTTTTCCCGTCTATTGTAACCAATCAGAGCTCTTGTTAAAAAATAGTCACGTTGTCTTTACTGCCGGATATAAATACAGATGTCTCTGGAAATCCCGCCCTCTTCTCTCTTCTGTCTAATAGTGTATCCGGCTACAGCGCGTTGTGTGTTTGTTCTTTGTTCTGTGCCATTATGTCTGCTTCATGTGATGTTGAAACGCTCTATGTTAAATGTTGAATGAACTGGATTAACTTACAAGACTGTCTCGTCAATACTACAATATCATCCACTCGCCACGTACTACAGTTATATTTACTAATCACCAGCATATTATAAGTATAACACACACACAACACACATACAACATACATACATACATACAGGCTTATTCTCTACAAACAAGAGATAACATCCAACAATCACATTCGACAAGATATATATATATATATATCTTGTTCAAATTTTAAATCATTAATAAAATACTTTCTATGGTTCCATTCAAGTTCAAATACATTTTTTAAAACTTTTAGTGGATGACACTTGATGTTTTAATACAGTATTTTCAAATATCAATTCAATAATTAAATTTAAATAAATGAATAGATAGTAACAAACAGATATAATAGTCCAACAGCATATAAAGAAATTCGTTCGTTGTGTCCCTGTAGCGCAATGGATAGTGCGCGTTGAAGTTCTAATACAAAGGTTGTGGGTTTTGAATCCCAAATGGGATAGCCTAATTTCTGAGAACGTGATTTCTTTTTTACTATACTATTTTATTAGAATAATTTAAATTAAATAAATAAATAGTAACAAACAAAATAATAGTCCAACATCCTATATAGAAAAGAAAATGGAAAATGGCAAAAAAAAATCGATTTCTTTTTGTCACTGAATAGTGTGATTCCGCCACATGTATATACATATATTTGTATTAAATGTAATTATTTAATAAAAAGTAACTAGAATAAAATTTTCTTTTTGACCTAAGTAGGAACTGACTTTAATTATATATATATATATATATAAAATAACAGTGAAGTACTAGAACCTACAGTGCTAAAGCAGGAAGAAATTGGAATTCCCCACACACACACACACATATATATATATTATTTGTTTTGAACATTTTCAGCAAAAAAAAACTGATTCCTTAAGGGGTTAAGACACCAAAATTAAATTTCCCGTAAATATTTAATATCAACAATTTCTCATGCTATTAATTTTTTCTCCATCAGGTCTTGAAAATGAAGATTTCGCCCCTGCCATTCCAGATCCTTGCTTCATCACTGCTATGTATCATGAGTATATCAGAAGTTATCTGCAGTGCGGGAAATGGCTACGTTGATGAGGACTTAGACTTCAGCGATTTGGAGACTCTGGATTTCACTTGCATGACTCATAATGATCATAACTGCAATGAAACTCGTACCAACGGTGACCACTTGATGCGATTCAATTGCATTTGTGATCACAACTGCTTACTCTCTGGGTTTTGTTGCCTTGATTCGGAGTTCCGACCCATTTCTAGGATCCCCAAACCTAAAATCCAAGTAAAATGTCTTCCTACTTATGGTATCACCTCTCGTGATGTATTGATGGTTGACAAATGTGAAAAACCGGGAATAATTAACGATTTATGCACCAGCAATGGAGAAAATTGGAATGACTTATTCCTTTTGATTCCGGTTACAAGTAAAGTGTCCAATATAACGTATAAAAACTATTATTGCGCTGTCTGTAACGAGAATCCGGATGCTGACCAGTTAACCTTTTGGGCAGTTAAACTCGACGGCAAATTCGACTTGCCGGAAGACCCTCCTGTACCAACATTAACGTACCATCGGGGCATGAAGTCATGGATATTGAAAGAAGACCAAAACATGGATAAACCCAGAAATGTTTCCGTGGCTATAGAACCCTTAGAAAGATGGGAAGTGAAGTACTGTCGGAAAAATGTGGTGACGGAATGTGCCAGTAACTGGACAGATACCGATGTGCAAGATAAATGCAATGCATACGCGTCAGTATTCCCTGTCATTCGCGAAGATGGAACTAAAATTAGATACAAGAATCCATATTGTGCTGTTTGTAATCACGAAGTCTTAGACAGATACGGGTGTACTGAGTTGTTGTATTATACACTTCATTTTTTCTCTAAAAAAGTGCGTCGTTTTAAGATAGAAAATGAAGAAAAGCGGTGTGAAGACGGTGCGGTCTACGACATTTTTTCAAAAAAATGCAGATGTAAATCAGAAGTGCCTTTGACTAGAGGTAAAAAGGGGACCAGAAATTGTGTTCTGAGGCTTAGTAGATTCTAGAAGGAATTGTTTTCTAGAAAATAAGGTGAGAAATGATGTGTCTTTTGAAGTAATGTGTTTTGACTCGCGTTTTTAAATTGTAATTTTCACGAGGACTCAGTCCA